CCCCATTTTTGTGTCTTTTATTAACCTAGTGCATTGTCTTATTAAATCTTTACTGTATTTAATGCAGGATTTGTGCTTCAGTTGCTCTTTGTATTTTGATATTTTTATTTAGAGGTTTTGTTTGCTTTTTGACACTAGTTGTAAGTTACTTTGTGTTATAGATGATATCCTTTACCCCTTCCTAATATTTTACAGCAGTACGTTTTTTTGTAACGTGAGACTGCAGAATTTTTTTTGTTTTTCTATATGTGAAGGATTACAACACAAAAAGTTATCCTGCCATTCGAGTGCTCAGAACTGAATGTTTCTGCAGATCTTGTGGCATTTGTCTCTAGTGTGATATATAAAGGTGTAATTAAGACAAATTTCTGTTAATCTAATCAAGTTTGCTGTTAGTTGTGCATTAGCAGTATAAAAGCTAATATATACTATATGGTCTTGCAACAGTTTTAAAGCCTCTGCATAATTGATAATAAAAATGCATGACATTTTTGTTTTTAATAGACTTTTAAAATTATAATTTTAGGTTTAACACGTAGATCTTTGTACAGTTGACTTTTTGACATAGCAAGGCCAAAAATAACTTTCTGAATATTTTTTTCTTGTGTATAAGTGGAAAGGGCATTTTTCACATATAAGTGGGCTAACCAGTATTTTCAAAAGAACTTTATCATTGTGCAACTAACAACAGTAACTAGCCCTTAATTATGGTGACAGTTCCTTGTTGGTGTGTGTGAGATTACTCTAGCAACTATTACAGTGTAACACAGTTGATCTTCTCCACACACCCCATCACCCAGATAAATTTACAGTTCTGTTAACAGTGAGGTTGATAAAGTATTACTGACAAAAAAAATTAAAATTATCTAAGAAAAAAACAGAAAATTATTTGGTGTGGCCATCTTACATGCTTATGTCTCCTACATAAAGCTAAATATTCTAGCAGTGATGTAATGAAAAAATTACATCTTAACTGTTGATGTATGTATGCTCTGGTACACAGATGTCATTTTGTTGTCACGGCACTACAGTGAAATACACAAATAAAAAATTAAATTCATATAATGACTTAAATGTATTATATATTAGAACTGACAACATAAACTACTTTTGCTTTGAAATAATGTATGCTTCAGTAAAATCATATTCAAATTTATTAAGTACTACATCTTATTATTCCTGACAAATTTTGTTGACTAAGCATATAATTTTCAGAACATTTCCTAATTAAATACTGTATTGGCTTAATTTCTTTCTAGGGTAAGAATCTTCCCCCAAAGTCTTAGAGGGCTAGGAAACCATAGGAGACCACAGGGGAAATAGAACAGGACACTAAGACTTTTCTCCCAGATTTGTCACATACAGATCGAGTATCAAATCCAAAAATCTGAAAGTGTCAAAATCTGAAACTTTTTGAGGGCCTAAAAGGAAATGCTCATTAGGGCATTTCAGATTTTCAGATTAGGGATGCTCAACTGGTGTAATATAAATATTCCAAAATCCAAAACAGTTCTGGTCCCAAGCATTTCAGCTAAGATATACTCAACCTGTACTATCTGTTTAACTTGGGCAAGCCTTTTTTTTCCCTTTTTTAAATCTTTCTGGGTCTCATTTTACTCTCCTTCAGAATTTTATTTCTCACAGTTCCCTTCAAAGGGAAGGATGGTGGCTTGGCATAGTGGCTCTTGGCTGTAATGCTAACACTTTTGGAGACTGAGGCAGGCAGATCTGCTTGAGCTCAGGAGCTTGATACCTGCCTAGCTGCATTTTTAACAATCATTGTAAGATTGTTTCAAATTAGATTTTTTTTTTCTTAAATTTTACATGCATCCTTCAAGAACGAAAGCAAAACAAACAAAAAATTTTTACATGGGAGACCGCACCGTTGCACTTCAGCCTAGGCAACGAGCAAAAATCCATCTCAAAAAAAAAGAAGAAGCCGGGTGCAGTGGCTCATGCCTGTAATCCCAGCACTTTGGGAGGCTGAGGCAGGTGGATCATCTGAGATCAGGAGTTCAAGACCAGCCTGGCCAACATAACGAAACCCTGTCTCTACTAAAAATACAAAAATTAGCCCGGCATGGTGGCAGAAGCCTGTCATCTCAGCTACTCAGTAGGCCTGGCTAAGGCAGGAGAATTACTTGAACCTGGGAGGCGAAGGTTGCAGTGACCTGAGATCATGGCATTGCACTCCAGCCTGGGCAACAAGAGTGAAACTCTGTCTCAAAAGAAAAAAGAAAAAGACTGCACGTGGTTCTGATACAAACTAGATCATGCTTTAATAAACGCTTTATAGCAGTGACCATAATGTACTCTAGAGTGCAAAACTAAACTGTATTTTTTAGTATTAAGGGTATTTTGTCATCAGCCAAATCGCATATATATAGTTATCAATATGTTAATTGGAATATTAAGCAGATAGTAATATCCCCATTCCCTAAGGAATTTTGATTATCTGTAGTCTAGATAAATGTAGTCTTCCTTTATCTTGCTTAGTGTAATATTGGGTGTAAAATAAAATCTGGAAATGTGAAACAGTTATATTACTAACTTAAAGCCTGAATTTTTGAGACGGAGTTTTGCTTTGTCTCCCAGGCTGGAGTGCAGTGATGCAATCATGGCTCACTGCAACCTCCTCCTCCAGGTTCAAGCCATTTTCCTGCCTCAGCCTCCCGGGTAACTGGAATTACAGGCAAGTGCCACCATGCCTGGCTAATTTTTGTATTTTTAGTAGAGACAGGGTTTCACCATGTTAGCCAGGCTGGTCTCCAGCTCCTGACCTCAAGTGATATACCAGTCTTGGCCTCCCAAAGTACTGGGATTACAGGCTTGAGCCACTATGCCCGGCCTGAATAATATTTTTTAACATTAGTTAAGCTAATTCTATGTTAAATACAAAGTTAATATATTCACCTTATTCTAATATAATCCCAAAAGAGGTAGAATATTTAATATTAAACAGGGTCTTTCGTTTGGAAAGGAGTGTTCAGTTTAGCAACAAACCTAATGTGAAAGCCTTTTTCTAAAAAAGCAAGCAACCTATTGAATAAAAGTATGCAAGGGTGATTACATTAATTATAAGAACTGATTACTCTAAAAATACATGAATGTTAAGAGTTCAGGCTCGGCGCAGTGGCTCAGGCCTGTGATTCCAGCACTTCGGGAGGTCAAGGCGGGTGGATCACCTGAGGTAAGAGTTCGAGACCAGCCTGACCAATGTGGTGAAACCCCATCTCCTCTGCTAAGAATACAGAATTAGCCGGGTGAAGTGGCGCCTGCCTGTAATCCCAGCTACTCAGGAGGCTGAGGCAGGCGAATCGGAGGCAGAGGTTGTGGTAAGCCGGTGTCACACCATTGCACTCCAGCCTGGACAAGAAGAGCAAAACTCCGTCTCAAAGAAAAAAGAAGAGTTAAGAAGTAGAGAATGAAAACATCAGAAAATATACCTAGGGCTTGGTTAAATGTGACCCCTGTATTATAGAATTACAGGATAATGCAACACAAAATGTTCCTGATGTGATTGTGATTTACCTTGAACTTTGCTATAAGCTGTTAAAAAGAGAAAGTTTTATTTCAGTGCAACCATAGTGTGCATTTTAATGTAAATAAAAAACAGAAGCCCCGCCTTTTGCTAACGCATGACGTCCGATGTCCTGGGGCCAGAGGGAAGTTAAAAACTGCATTGCCAATCACAACTAAATTAGCTAGCATTGGAACTCTAACAGAGAAGGTGTTTTCTTGTGTCCTTTATCTGAATGATGTTCAAGTAAGATACATAGTCCTCCTATATCTATGTAAAGTCATACTCAAAAGAGAGTAGCCAAGATAGTGAATTTATCTGAAATCATGTTGCATTGTTGGAACCACAAGAGATGACAAAGGAGAGAGAAAGGGTAACTTTTTTTTTTTTAGACAGAGTCTCATTCTGGAATGCCGTGGTGCAATCCTGGCTCACTGCAACCTCTGCCTTCTGGGTTCAAGTGACTCGTGCCCAGCCTCCCAAGTAGCTGGGACTACAGGCAGGCACCACCACACCCAGCTAATTTTTGTATTTTTTTAATGAGGCGGGGTTTTGCCATGTTGGCCAGGCTGGTCTTGAACTCCTGGCCTCAAGTGATCCACCTGCCTTGGCTCCCAAAGTGCTGGGATTACAGGCGTGAGCCACTGCGCCCGGCCAAAAAAGGTTAACTATCTTCTAATACAAATAGCTATAAGAAAAAAATAATTGAAGAAAGGGTTTTTTTGTTTGTTTGTTAATTGTAGCAATAAGATGGATGAGGGTCTCTTGGAAAGAAGTTGCTGCTTTTGTTCAAAATTATCATCACTGGGACCCGGCAAGGTGGCTCACGTCTGTAATCCCAACACTTTGGGAGGCTGAGGTGGGCAGATCGCTTGAGTTCAGGAGTTCAAGACCAGCCTGGACGACATGATGAGACTCGTCTCTAAAAAAAATACTAAAATTAGCCAGACATGGTGGCTTGCGCCTATAGTCCCAGCTATACAGGAGATTGAGATGGGAGGATCACTTGACCCCAGGAGGCAGAGGTTTCAGTGAGCCGAGATCACACCACTGCCCTACAGCCTGGGCAACAGCAAAATTCTATTTCAATAAAATAAATTAACACCTTGGCCAGGTGCAGTGGCTCACGCCAGTAATAGCACTTTGGGAGATGATTACTTGGACTTTTTAAGCATTCCAGTTTTGGTCTACCTCAAAGGCCTACCCATCAGCCTTTTTTCCATTCTAAAGAATCTACAAAGCTATATTTCTCCAAGGTCAATGGTTAAGGTAGAAAAGGGAATTCATCTCCTTTACTCTGCATTTTAACCTTTCTCCAAACCAGAAGTCAGAAATGACATCCCATATAAAGTATCCACAATATAGTTGTGTTTAATTTGGCTAAA